GAAACAAAAATTGATGAAATGGTATCATGATCACAGTGGGAAACTTAAACATCTCTTAAAGAGCAACTGATATAATAACTAGACAAAATGTCAATAAAGACATAGGTGATCTGTAGATCAATTATCTTGACCTAACTGATTTTTAAAATTAATTATTTTTATTTAGACATTATTTTTATTTTATTTTATTTTTTTAAAGATTTTATTTTATTAGAGAGAAACAGCAAGAGAGGGAACACAAGCAGGGGGAGTGGGAGAGGGAGAAGCAGTCTTCCTGCCGAGCAGGGAGCCCGATGTGGGGCTCGAATCCCAGGACCCTGGGATCATGACCTGAGCCGAAGGCAGACACTTAACAACTGAGCCACCCAAGTGCCCCTAGACATTATTTTTTAGAGCAGTTTAAGGTTCACAGCAAAATAGAGGGGGCCAGAGATTTGCACATATCCTCTGCCCCCCAACACACAGCCTCCCCATTATCAGTATCCCCAATCAGAATGGTACATTTGTTACAGTTGATCAACCTACATTGACACATCACCCAAAGTCTATAGTTTACATTATGGTTCACTCTTGCTGTTGTACATTCTATGAATTTGGACAAATGTATAATGACATGTATCCATCATTAAGTATCAAACAGAGTATTTTCACTGCCCTAGAAATTCTCTGTGCTTTGTGTATTCATTCTACCCCAGTTCCAACCCCCAACCCCTGGCAATCACTGATCCCTTCACTCTCTCCATAGTTTTATGTTTTCCAGAAGGTCATATAGTTGGGAGTCATACAGTATGTAGTCTTTTCAGATTGGCTTCTTTCACTTAGCAATATACATGTAAAGTTCCTCCATGCCATTTCAGTTTTTCATAGTTCATTTTTTTTTAGTCCTAATAATATTCCACAGTTTATTTATTCACTCAAGGGCATCTTGGTATTTCCAAGTTTTAGCTTCAAGATTCTCTCCCTCTGCCCCTCCCTCCTCAAAATAAATAAGTAAATCTTAAAAAAAAAAAAAAAAAAAAAAGAGGCCCAGGAAAGAAGAGCAAAGCAAATCAAACAAACTGGAAGGAAAAAAAGAAGATCAGAGAAGAAATAAATTAAATGGAACAGATTAACTGGTAGAGGAAATTAACAGAACTGGAAGCTTGTTTGTTGAGAAGTTCAGCCTAACTGATAAACCCTGACTTAGATTGATGAAAAAAGGGATATAGAGAGAGAACACAAGTTACCAATATCATGATTGAAAGAAGTGTTATCACTACAAATCCTACATATATTAAAAGGATAATAAAAACAAATTGATTATGAGCAACTTGATTCCAGCAAACAATAATTTTGATGAATTGAATATTTTGAAAAATACAACTTACCAAATTGACCCAAGATGGAACAGAAAATTTGAATAGCTCTATAGCCATTAAACCACAGTAACTCTGTAACTATCAAAAACCTTCCTATAAAGAAAACTTCAGTCCTGATGATGTCACTTTTTTTTTTTTTAAGAAGATAGAAGACAAGTGAACACTTTGCAACTCTCTTTTGTCTTTCTCCAAGGTGGGCTGCTGGGTCTTGGGGGAATGGTGACAGGAGTAATGTGAAGTTGTCTTTCATACCTACTTCAGTGTATCTTTTCTTATTCCTGTGCTCCATCCAGGTGCTGTAATCCCTTACCTGGAGTCCTTAGCCTTTGTAAAGGTATTTTTGTGCATGGAGTGTTTTTCTAAGTAGTATTTCTGTGAGGGTGTGAGTGCTGAAAACTCCTATTCCACCATCTTGCTGATGTCACTCCTCTCTCAAAGTTGTCTTAACCTTAGAAAATCGATGTTTTGCCATATTAATAGAATGAAGGAGAAAACCATATGATAATTTTAATACATAGAGGAAAAAATATGACAAAACTCAACATCCATTCACATGAAAAATTCTCACCAAACAAAGAATATAAGGTACTTATTCAACTTATAAAGAGCATCTATGAACAACCTCCAGCTAACATCGTATGTTCATGTTGAAATATTAAATTATTTTCTACTGGAATCAAGAACAAGGCAATGTGCTCAATTTTGTCACTTTTACTCAACATTGAATTGGAGGTCCTAGCCATTGCAATAGAGGAAGAAAAAGAAATATGATGATAAAGATTGGAAAGGAGGAAGCAAAATTGTACTCATTTTCAGTGTGAAAAAATATATATTGGTCTCTGTCCCCAGTTCTTGGCACAGAGCTTCTAAAATCTGTGCAATTTCCTAAGTGGTATTAGAACTAGGAACATCTTTTGTTCTAATATTTGGTCTTTGAACCTGGTTCCTGACACAGGGCTCTTGAAACCCTTGTAATTTCCTGAGGGATAGGAATATTTTTTGTTCTAATGAGTTGACTCTGGCTGGGCTCCTTGATAAGGACTGATCACAGGAAGGACCAAGCTATGATTAGAAGCTTGAAATTTTCAGCCATACCCAACCCCATCCCCATTCTCTTGTGAAGGGAGGAGGACTAGAAATAGAGTTAATGATTGATCAAACCTATGTGAGGAAACCTCCATAAAAATTCCCAAAGTATGGGATTCAGAGAGCTTCCAGGTTGGTGAACACATCTACATACGGGGATGGTAACCCAGCCCAACAGTTTCTGTACTTGGCATCCTCCCGACCTCACCTTATGTGCCTCTTCATCTTTCTGTTCATCTGTATCCCTTATCATATCCTTCAATAAACCTGTTAACATAAGTAAGTGTTTTCCTGAGTTGTGTGAGCCACTCCAGCAAATCAGTAGAATCCAAAGGGGGAAGAGGTCATGGAAACCATGATTTGTAGCTAAGTCAGGCAGAATTGTGGGCAATCTGGGGACATACTAGTATTTGCAGTTGGTATCTTGAAATAGGGGGCAGTTTTGTGGGACTGAGCCCTTAACCTGCAGGATCTGATGCCATCTCCGGGTAGACAGTGTCAGAATTGAGTTAAAATGTTGGAAACCCTGCTGCTATCACAGAGAATTGCTTGTTTTGGGGAAAGCCCTCATCTGGTGTTGGAAGTATTGTGAGGGTGGTAGTGGTGTAAGAGTAAAAGAGACACACAGGAGGAGGACTGGGTTTTTCTTAAATAGCAACTAACATGATTGTTTACATAGAAAACCCTGAAGATCTACAAAACAACTAGAAGTAATAAGTGAATATGCAAAGCCATAGTGTATAAAGCTAAAATTTATAAACTCAATTCTATTATTATCTTCTAACAGGAAAAAAAATTGTGAAATGTAATGGAAAAACAGTTCTGTTTATAATAGGTCCCCAAATCAGATTATTTAGAAATAAATGTAAACAGATATACACTGAAAACCACAGGGCATGGCTGAGAGTTATTTTAAGACTTAAATGAGTGGAAAGATATATTATCTTCATGGATTGGAAGACTCAATTTTAAGATGTAAATTTTTCCTAAATTGATCTATATATTTAATTTAATCCCAATAAAAATCCCTAGAAGTTTACAAACTGATTTTAAAATTTATATGGATGCAAAGGACTTTGAATTGCTCAAAGAATTTTTAAAAAGAAGAACAAAGTTGCAGGACTTACTATAAAGTTCCAGTATTCAAGACTGTACTATAAACAAAAGGATAGGTATATTGATAAATCAATAAAACATCAGAGTCCAAAAATATCTCTACACATGTCTAATCAATTGATATTTTTAAAGATTTTATTTATTTGTCAGGGAGGGAGGGAGAGAGAGAGAACAAGCAGGGGGAGTGGTAGAAGGAGAAGCAGGCTCCCTGCTGAGCAAGGAGCCTGATGTGGGACTTGATCCCAGGACTCTGAGATCATGACCTGAGCCAAAGGCAGCCGCTTAACCGACTGAGCCACCCAGCACCTCTAATCAATTGATTTTTAAATAAAGGCACAAGGCAATTCAATGGGGAAAGGAATGTCTTTATTTGAAAGTTAATAAGAGTATAGATCTTAAAATTTCTCATAACAAAAAAATTTTGTGACTATGGTGATGGATGTTGATAGAATTGTGGAGATCATTTCACAATACATACAAATAATGAATTGTTATGTTATATACCTGAAACTAATATACTGTTACATGCCAATAAAAACATGGTCTTTCAATATGGGGAAAAAATGCATTGACTCTTAACTTATATCACACACAGTAATTAACTTGTAATGGGTCATAAACCGAAATGTAAAATCTCAAACTATAAAACTTCTATCAGAAAACAGGAAAAAAATTTTGTGACACTGGGTGAGGAAAAGATTTGTTAAACAGAAGATGAAAACACAAAGGAAAGACATATTAGAATGCACTTCATTAAAATAAAAAACATTTACTTCCCCAAAGACATAGGTAAGAAAACAAAACCAAAAGACAGGCCATTGATTGGGAGAAAATATTTGCAAAATGTGTCTGTCAAAGGGTTTATATCTGTAGAATACGTAAAGTACTCTTAGAACTCAATTCTTTTTTTTTTTTTAAGATTTATTTATTTATTTATTTGACAGAGAGAGACAGCGAGAGGGGGACACAAGCAGGGGGAGTGGGAGAGGGAGAAACAGGCTTCCCGCGGAACAGGGAGCCCCATGCGGCGCTCGATCCCAGGACCCTGCTTAACGACTGAGCCACCCAGGCGCCCCTCAGAACTCAATTTTTAAAAGAAAGACAACCCATTTTTTAAAAAAATGGGCATAGGATTGGATATTTCACAAATGACTAGTAGACACATGAAAAGATGCTCAACATCACCAGCCAATGGAAGATGCAAATTAAAACCACAGTGAGATAATACTACATACCCACTAGGATGAATTAAACCAAAAAAATCTGACAATACCAAGTATTATCAACAATGTGTTCTTTATTTTGACAGTGATGTTTTCATGAGTTTATATATAAGGCACAATTAAAGTGTACATTTTTAATGGATATATCTTATTGCATGTAAATTGTATCTTAATGAAATTGACTTAAAGATACACCTTTGGAAGAATAACAATTTATTATCCCAATGGGCCAAGATATAAAGATGCTTGGGTACTTACTAAAGTAGTAAGTGTAGCTGGGATCAGACTTTAGTTCTCAACCCAGATTGTTTTCCCTTCCAATTAGATCACGGGGCTGAGCATAGAATGCAGAATTGAAGGAAGAAGAAAGAAGGGGAACAAGTGTCCTAAGAATGGATCTGCTGTAATACAGACCCTTAGTCTTGTCCCAACCAGGGATGTCAACACATTTCCCCACGGGACTGAAGACACGCCTTGCTGTTAACTTGAACATTTTTCATCTTTTAAAATAGCTTCCTTATTTTTCTTTCTCTTCCCTAATCATGACAGAGTCACTTTGAATGATACAGACATATATGGAAACAAAGTCCGGGTGACTTATACTATGTACCGTTAAGGGATGTGAATAAAGAACTCTGGACACATCTCCACCTGCCACTTGAGTGAGTGCTCCTTGGAACCTATTTCATGGATTCCAAAGTATGTAATTAAAAGAACATAAAGAATTAGATGGATTGAAAGTACGTAAAGAATTAGAATCAGAAAATGCAGAGAATGTGTTGAGTTAATGCTTTTTAGAATTAATATGTAAATTTGCCAAATTTCTTTCCAGCTTATTATTTTTAATATTTTAATATCCTATATATTTTACATGTGTTTTCTCTATGCTTCTCTTGGGCTTAATAATAGGTTCATTGAAATTTGATATTTTTTTTCTAAGAGGACATTTTATCTTGAAATTACCGAGGTACTAAACTGTTGTCACATTATATTTGATGTTAGTGTGCAGATTCCACTGTAAGAAAAAAAAATGAAAGATAATCCAAGGGAGGAGCACTTACTTAAATATGCGTTCACCGGCCTTTGTTATCAAACTGAAGTGAAATCAGGTCATCTTTCATGATTTCCAATACGGAACTGTGTCCATGAAGGGCTTGAACTGGATAGGTTACATTTCTGAAAAGCTCCTGTGTTCAAATAGCAAAAAATCACTTTGAGAAATTGAAAAATGTCCTCTGTGACTCTGAATTTTTATAGCATACTTTATTTGAATTTATGGGAAACAAATAGTGTAACAAATGAGTTCATGGGAAATAATCTAAATTTGACGTTCCAGAGAAAACTAGCATTTATTGAACACCAGCTGTGCTTTGGGTACTGTAAAGTACTTTATGCATATGATCTTATTTAGCCCTGTCAGCCTACAGAGTAGGTAGTACCATTATCTCCATTTTGCAGATGGGAAAATGCAGGCACAAAGAGATGATGTAGTTTCAAGATTTTAACCCTGGCCTCCTGTCTGTGGAGCCTGCACCCTCTCACCCCTGGCCAAACACACAGGAGTAGGTCTTCGCTCTTCCCTGCACCTGCCCTGTTCCTCCCCACCCGCATTCATCCTGTTCGTCCTCCTGGAGAGCCCAGCCTGCCCTCTCCACTGGTCACGTCCTGTCTATTCTTCACTGTCTGGGCACTTAGACCTTCTGTATTCCCACGGCAGCTACTCTGCCTGATTTCCTATTGTCCAGACGTAATTGTTCCCTAATGTTTGGGTACTAACCTCAGAACCAGCTGTCCTGCCTCACATTGCCCTTCCTCCAAACCATCCTATGTAATCCCCTTAAATACATATTCTTACAAGCCTTGGGTGGCTCCCACTGTTGTCCTTGGAATCCTAGTTTGGAGAACACTCAAGGCCTTCCAAAATCTTTGACACACTTCCCAGTTCTAGTCAGATGTGGAAACACCAACCCCAGACAGGTATTTCTCAGGTCATTTCAATGTGCTTGGCATATAATAAACATTTAATGTTAGTTTTCATTATTTTGTATTTAATATTTGAAGATAATATTCATAGTTACATAGTTCAAACACTAAAAGTATAGAAATGGATCATTGAAATGTCTTCTACTTATTCTTGGCCCCATCATCCCACTTCCCATTCCCCATCCCCCACACATTAAACTATTAAAATTAATTTCTTTTTTTTAAGATAAATGACAATATACATTGACCTACATGTTGCCTTTTTCTACTTAATATATCTTGGACATCTTTTTGTATCAATAGCTGAAGAGCTTGCTCATTTCTTTTTTTACAGCTGCATAGAAATTTTTATAGCTGCATGGACATATCATAATTAACCATAATTTAATTATTCCCTGATAATATACATTTATGTCATTTCCAGGTTATAAACAAAGCAAATATCCTCATTTACAGTGTATGCATGAAAACTTATTTGTAAAGTACATTCCTAGAGGGAGAAGTAGGAAAATGATTTATGCATTTGTAATTTTATTTATTTATTATTTTTTATGCATTTGTAATTTTATTTTATTTTAAAGATTTTATTTATTTATTTGACAGAGAGACACAACGAGAGAGGGAACACAAGCAGGGGGAGTGGGAGAGGGAGAAGCAGGCTTCCCGCCGAGCAGGGAGCCCGATGCGGGGCTTGATCCCAGGACCTGGAATCATGACCCGAGCCGAAGGCAGACGCTTAACGACTGAGCCACCCAGATGTCCCGCATTTGTAATTTTAATAGATACTGCCAAACTGTCCTACTTAGGGGACATATCGATTTCTACTTCCAACAGAAACAAATGAATCAACAGTTTCCCCACAGCCTTGCCAACACACTGTGGTATTAAACTTTTCATTTTTGCCTATAGATGGGAGAAATGGTGTTTTAGTGTAGTTTTAGTTTGCCTTTAAAAAAACGAGTGAGTGTGAGCATTTTTCAAATGTGTAAAGGCCATTTGTTTTTCTTTTTCTGTTTTGACTGTTCATACCCTTTGCACATTTTAAAATTGTTCTGCACTTTCCCTTATCAATTTACAGGTAGTGTATATGTTATGGAAATTAGCCCTTTTCCTGTTACGAGATGCAAACATTTCCCCAAGTTTGTCATTTGTCTCTTGTTTATGGTGTTTTATTTCCTGCAGGTGTTTTTGATTTTGACATTAACTTGTCATTTTCTTTCATGCCATCAGGACTTTAAGTCATGTTATAAATGCCTTTCCCACTCTGAGATGATATGAATTTTCCCTTATTTCTCCTAGAAGTCTGGTTCTTTGACTTCCCACATTTAAATCTTTGAGCCGTCTAGAATTTATCCTGGCACATATTATGAGATAATGTTCCCCCTTTTTCCCAGATGGCCACCAATTTATACCAACATCATTTATTAAATTATCCTTATATTCCCCACTGCTTTGAAATGCCATCTTTACGTGCTAAAGTCCTGTATGCACCTGCCTCTATCCTTGGGCTTTCTATTCTGTCTGGTTGGTTTGCTGATTGTTCATGTGCCAGGACCCATCTGTGCACATACTAAGCATAGCTGAAAATCAAGCAGGGCTGGCTTTCCCTCGCAGATCCTTCTTTCCAGAGATCTCTTTCCTATCAGCATTTATTGATTCTTTAAATGTGGTTTTCAGTAATTAACAACAGCAACAAAAAACGACAAACAACAAAAATCCTTCCTGTTGGATATTTTTTCGTGATCATATTAAGTTTATAAGTTAACTTAGGAAAACTTGATGATTTTGAATCTTACTCTCTAAAAATATAGTCAGTTCTATTTTTGTTCCATTCTACTCCTTTGTCCTGCAAGAACAGTTAAAGATTTTTGTCAAATTGGTTTTGTTATGTTTCTTCCTAGGTATTTTATCCATTTGTTGCCAATGTGCATGGAGCCTTTTCTTTCACTGTATTTTCCATTAGTACGTATGGAGACTTTTGGTTTCTGTATATTAATTTCACAGCTTGCTAGCTTAATGTATTTTCTTATTTCTAGGGGTTTTTGTTTTTAATTGATTCTCTTGATTTTCCAAATAATCATATAATCTACAAATAGGAAAGCCTTGCCTCCTCGTTTGCAATATTTATTCCTCCGGTTTCTTTTTCCTCTGGTTGCTTTATTTTATTTTTAAAGATTTATTTATTTTTGAGAGAGAGAGAGCTAGCACGGGGGTGAGGGGCAGAGGGAGAAGGAGAGAGAATTTTCATTCAGACTCCGTGCTGAGCCCAGGGCTTGACCTGGGGCTCGATCTCAACACCTTAGATCATGTCCTAAGCCGAAGCCAAGAGTCGGCTGCCCCCACCAACTGTGCCACCCAGGCGCCCCATAGCTTTAGATAGTACCTCCAGAACAGTGATAGTTAATGGAAATAGTACCAACCTGACCTTTTTCTGGCTTCAGCAGGAGTTCCTAGTGTTTCCTCAATAAGCCCATGCAGGCTTTTGGTCTAAGACTGACATCTTAAAAAAAAAAAAAAAATCATGTTCAGCAGTTTCTCTTTCATTAAGAATCTTTTAAAAATTCAGTACTGGAGATTAAATTGTGATAGGTGATTTTTCAGTATCTATGGAACTGGTTATATTTTCCCTGTAACTTACCAAAATGATGAATCATGTTAATAAATTTCACATCGAATTAGACTTGCATTCCCATACTAACTCCAATTAGTCTTCATACATTCCATCTACTATATTTTATTCAGGATTTTTGCATCAATATTCATAAGGTTGATCTATAATTTTCTTTGTTTCTTATATAAATTCATCTTTTTAGATTTTCCCTCTTTTCTGGAGTTAGATTGGTAAATTATGTTTTTCTTTTTTTTTTTTTTAAGATTTATTTATTTATTTTAGAGAGAGAGAGCATGAGTGGGAGGGGCAGAGTGAGAGGGAGAGAGAATCTCGTACAGACTCTGCACTAAACATGGAGCCCCATGCAGAGCTGGATCTCACAACCCTGAAATCATGACCTGAGTCAAAATCAAGAGTCAGCCCTTAACCGACTGTGCTACCCAGGAACCCTGGTAAATTATGTTTTTCTAGACATAGATAATCTCATTCACATTTTTTTTTTTTTAAAGATTTTATTTATTTTTTGACAGAGACAGACACAGCGAGAGAGGGAACACAAGCAGGGGGAGTGGGAGAGGGAGAAGCAGGCTTCCCGCAGAGCAGGGAGCCCGATGCGGGGCTCGATCCCAGGACCCTGGGATCATGACCTGAGCCGAAGGCAGACGCTTAACGACTGAGCCACCCAGGCACCCCTCATTCACATTTTCAAATGCATTGGCATGGAGCTCAGCAAAGGAGTCCTTTGGTCCTTTTAATTTTCAGTTTCTGTTGTTATTTCCCATCATCATTTCTCCTGTTGTGTACTTTTGATTTCTCTTTCCCTTGCCTAGATTAGGCAGAAGTGTGTTTTCAGGGAGCCAGCTTTGATTTTACTTATAAGTTCTACTCTTTTTTTTGTTTTTGAAATTACCGATTTCAACTTTAGTTTCTATTTTTATTATTCCTTTTCTACCTTCATGAACAGTATGCTGAATACATTTACTTTTATTTTTGTTTATTAATATAATTGTATAAAGACACGAATTTTCATCTAAACACAGCTTCGGCTTATCTCCAGTTCTGAAAGGT